GAGCTGCGCGGGCCGGGGGGGGGGGGTGGCCGTTGGGCGCCCGAGTGGGCCGGGGCTTTAGCACGTGGGGCCGCTTCGTGGGGGAAGGCTGCCCTTCGCGTCACCTGCTGAGCGTGCAGCTTTGGTCTCTAGGGCTATCTGGAAGCTTGACACTATTAGCTGACTTACTGCTATAGTTGTTTAGGCGCTAACAAACTCTTTGTGCCAAAGGGTGATGGACCAGTAAAAATCACTGGGAAAATTAATGCCTTGTCCGACGGAGATCATGGCTTCCACGTCCATGAGTTTGGGGACAACACAAATGGTAAGGCTTCTATCTCAGCTCTCCAGGGAGAGCTGACTCGACAACTCAACTGCCACACTGGCTAGTATGGAGTGTGCTTGGTAGTGACTGCAAATCCGTTTCATGAAATTATAACATTCCCTAAGGCATTGCCATCCTGGTTAATACTCTAACATGCCTAGACTAGTAATCAAAATCTGATGTGTTGGTCACTAAAATACTAGGATAACCTAGTGCTCAGAACTGAGAATACTACTTTCAGAACAGAAAATCTTCTGTATTCCGAATCCTTGTGTCCCGAGGCTCTTAAGAGTAATGCTTGCAAATCTGTCACAGGTTACTTGCCTCCAGTAGGTCTGTATAATATCATGAGTTGCTGTTTCCCCTTTAGAAAGCTTCCTCAGGCTGTGGGAAGGCTGCGTGATAGTGCTGCACAAGCAACTTAGTGGTGCATTTCTCATGGCTGATCTGTTTCAGGGTGCACCAGTGCAGGTGCTCACTTCAATCCCGAAGGCAAGCAGCATGGTGGACCAAGTGACGAGGAAAGGTAAGTTTAATGTGCCTGGTTCCTTATTGGAAGGCTGCTCAGCTTGAATTAGCAGCTGTATAGAGAGACTCCTTTCTGCCTGAGAGGCCACTTTATGAATAATGTCAGAACAAAGCTAAGCAGAAAACTTGTAATTGCAGCAAGTCTTTTAGGGTCAGCTAATAGAGGGCCTGCTCACTGCTATCATTGCTTGGTTATCTTAGATCCAAGCGTATGGATTACATGCAGCCTTTGAAAGGTGTGCTTGGCTTAATTGCAGCTGAGGGGAGAAGCAAAAATTTTTTACCAAGTTGAGGGTGCCGGAGGATGAGTGGAGGGGAATTCCTGTGTTAACCTTTCACTTTTACTGGTGGCTTTTTTTCTGTGCTGGATGCCCCCTCAGCAAACACAGCCCTCCTTTCACCCAGGAGCCTTCAGCTGCCAAGGAGCCATTGCCCTTTATGCAGGCCTGTTGTGTGGCAAAATTGGGATTTGTTGAAGGGGCTGGAGCTTCAGGGGCATGTAAGATTGAAAGCTGAGTGCCCCTGGCAGGGGGCTGTTCATGGGGGCTGTGCTTAACCTGTCAGCTTAGGCCCTGTAGCAGGGTGTGCTGTTAGGGGGTCTGCCTGTGCGGACTGCTGCTGTGACTTAGTGGGAGTCAAGACATGGAAATGAGGCCTGGCTCTTCCATGGGAGCACTTCCTAGCCCTGATCCTTTCAAGGGGCCCATGCCTGTTGGAGACCCCTACCCTTTAAGCTGGAGAAAGCAGCCTAAATAGGCCCTTGGCTGCGCAAGAGCTGAAGCAGCAAGTGTAAAGGATGGGCTGGCCTGTACAAGTAGGTCTGGAGTAGCACTGTGACCAACTCGGCAGTGCAGCTCGCTTTAGGTGCTCACCTTGAGTGCATAGCTGCAACCACAGGGCTGATCAATCAATACCTGACTGTTCAAGGACTGGCTCGTGGCCACCTCTCCTAGGCACCTCCCTGTGCTAAAGGCCAGAATCGATAACGTTGTAGCCTCTGCCAGCTCTGTGTAGTCCATGCCCTCTCCTGACACAACTTGCCTCTTGCCACAGTTGTAGTACAGGGAACTTTCTGTGGAGGCAGAGGTAGGTTGTGCAGTCAGGACAGAGTTGAAACAGATTGGACAAGCTTCCTGGAAGTCAAAATGAAGCAAATTCCCCAAGGGAAAGATGTCCTTGTCCTCATTTTGTGACTTGGACAAACACAAGAAATCTCTGCTAGACCAGGCGGTGCTAGCTGGCTGCTCTGTGGGACATGGAGAGTTTATTAGAAACAAGCTGATGGTCTAGGCTCTGAGTCCAGATTGATGTCTTGTAGCCCTCTGACCATGAGTTTCATGACTTGTATTTGGAGCACGCAGGCTGGGAACACACTGAAATGTCCAAAGGCTGTGAACTGACTCGAGGCTAAGTTTTAAAGGAAGTCTTGATGGAGAACTGTCTCTTAACAAAACTCACAGAACTAGCATCACAAATGTGGGAAGATAATGAATAAACTGCAGTAGTTGTTCCTGGTGCTGGACAGAACTTAGCTAGCATTTGATGTATCCCCTGTTGACCTACCACTTGGCAAACTGCTTTTACTAATCCTGCTTAAAGCAAAAGTCTGCAACAGCTTGTGGAAGAGCTGACTTGTAATTCATTAACAGTTTTAAGCATAGCTGCAGTGCTCATTCCAAACCTTGTATGTGCTGAAAGGTGGCTTTACCTAACTGAGACTTTCCCTGTGAGCAAAAGAAAGTATCTTACAATAAATAAATATGGAGGGAGCTCTTGGCCTCAAGAGTCCTGTAGTATCAGCCTGCCTTCCTTGGGGCCATGGTGTCTTTCCCAGTGTTGTGATTAACCTTTTAATTCCAAGTTCTGTCTAGAGCTGAACTAAACATTAGTAGTGGATATGTTGAAGAGTCACTGGCCATGTTAAGTAAATGTTCTGCTCGAGATGGTGGAGCACTTCACTGTGCTGAAGATGGATGTTGTGTTGGCCAGGCCATCGTGTGTGTAAGTTTTCTGCAAGTGTCTGTTCTTTTGCTTGTAGGCATGTGGGAGACCTTGGCAATGTGACTGCTAAAGGAGGGGTGGCAGAAGTGGACATAGAGGATAAGATGATTTCCCTGAGCGGGCCATATAGCATCATTGGCCGCACCATGGTGGTAAGTGCCTTGATGTCTGCTTAGGTGCTCTGCAGAGCTCCAGACGGCCCTGGCAGCTCTCTCACTGCTAGAGCCTTGTGCCTCAGGCTTATGCAACCTGGAGCTCCTGCTCTGGGGGCTCTTCTTTCTTACACTGACCCAAGTAGGCAGGCGGTGGGTGGTGTAACACTTGCTGTGGAGCCGCCAGGGCACTGCCTGCATCGTAAGGTAGCCTCCTATTGTAAGGATGAGCTCGAGATTCAAGCCAATGTTTGCTCCTGGGCAAGTGCTAACTGTTGAAACTTGGCCTTTTGCTAACTTGCAGTTCTGAAATTCAGTTGGAGGCTGTGTTTTCTTACAAAAAAAAAAAAGCTTTTAGTGTGAGTACCCAGTTGCTGTTCAGGGATACAGTGGAAAGCAGCAGTCACCTATGTAGATGTTGCAGACAGCTGGCAGTACTTGTTGCTGTTAATAATAATGTGAACAGCTGAGAAATGTTGATTATTGCTGATGTAATAACCTGTATTAAGATATCTTCAATTCTCTTTTAGGTCCATGCAAAACCTGATGACCTGGGTAAAGGGGGAGATAATGAGAGCAAATTAACTGGAAATGCAGGACCTCGTTTAGCTTGTGGTGTAATTGGATTAGCCAAGTGCTAAGTACTGCACCTCAAGTGCAAAATGGGTTGTATTTCATTGCAAATGCTATACCTGGCCTTGTTCAAGAAAAAGATTTATCACTTAATCTCATTACTACTTTGTGTTCTGAGTATCAGCGGAACTGGTGAAGACTGACTTAATTTTGTACAATGTATATTGCAATTAAAGTGACCCTGATAGAGTCTCTCTGTAGTCTTATGCTAAAGCTTGTGCTGTAATCATCTTGAATATGATCTTCACTGGCAGGAACTCTTGTTCTGTGTCATGGAAGGTGCTTATCAGTGACCACAAATGCTGTGTGTGTATCGTGCAACCTGACCACCCTTGCAAGCTCTGGCAAGACTACTCACTAAAGGGCAGTGGACCCTGTATGCATCAGGGCTTCTTCCTGGCAGAGTTAAGCTTTGTAGGCTTCAACCTTAATAAATGTGCTGGGAAAATAACTCTGTGGTCTTGCTGTCTGTGGGGGGAGCTACCTGCTGATCCTCTACCCTCTGGAAGGCAGCACAGGGTTTCCTCAGGCCAGTAGTTAACTTGCAGGGCACCAATACCCAATGGATTGCTGGTAGTCAGTAATCTTGGGACCACGTACAATTCTTACTCTGTAAGAAACCCTCTTGTCTTCTATTCCAAGTGTAGTTGGTAGTACCTGGTAATGGTGCATGCCACAGGTGGCTTGTGTGTACCCAAGCACAGCTTCTTGGTGAAGACACGTCATCCTGCTGTAAGTGTAATGCTGTGCCCAGGGGAGAGGGTCAAATGTGCCTCAGAGTAGCAGGGGACAGTGGGAGGTGGGTTAAACCTGTAAGACAGGGCTCCTTGTGCCTTCTCTCCTGGAACTTGGCCTTGTAGAGCTGGAATGTTCTGGGCAGATAGAGACACCTCCCATCAAAAGGTACCGGACTCCTGTACAGTGCAAGTCCTCAATGCACTGGCCCCTCTCTTGGAGCTGTGCATCTAGAAGCCTCTAGTGAGGAGCAGGCCTTTGAGGGAGAGATGTGGCCAGAGGTCCTGTCTTCAAATCCGTAAGGTGTTTCTGCAGTGTAATCACTATGTAATAGTGGCAGCTTTCTTTAGTGTGTATGCCTCTCAAACACAGATTTTTTCCAAGTCTTTTAATCAAACTATTAATTTTAATGAAGACTTGTATCAGCATTCCTTTATAGTTTGTACATAAATGATATTAATGGAAGTAGTTGTCTGTACTCTTAGACACCTGAATTCCCATATAGCATGTTACAAAAGGCATGGCTCTTGATATAGCAAGAATACTGTAAAAACACATTGACACTCATTGTAGGTGGCAAACAATTTTGTGTACAGTCCCTACCCACATGTATGCTTTCCAGGGGATGAGGGATTACTCTGGATTAGCTGTGGCCACAGAATTAAGATAGTGGATGTGCATTTCATGTCACTTGGCATCTGCTTTGAACATAATAGGCACTGTCATCATCATCACTACCTCTACTCCTTGCATTTGAGAGGTTTGGGGGACAGTTAGGCTGCCTCTCCCACAGGGAAGAGCAAGTGTAGGAGTGCAGGGCTAGTACTGGAGTGCAGTACTCGGCTTGCATCTTCTCCCAGATGTTCTGGGCTGAACCTTGCTTTTTTTGGAAGTCTGATCTATACAGCTGTTTACTTCAAATCCACTCTATTATTTGGTTTGATGTCTGATGGCAGACTAGCCTAATGACCCGTATTTTAAAATGCACATTCATATATGCGCAAATAAATCAGTCTGGCAGGCACTGGTTCAGTAACTGAGTGCTTAATTGCTCCCATTGAAAGACCTGTAGTGTCTGCAGTAGTAAGGGATGCTTATGTTAAGCTTACTAATTAATCCTAAGTAAAAGCTTCTGAATTGTCTTTTTTTAATGCCAGAAATTTGGTAGTTAATACAAAGGTTATGCTGGTGATACCTTGAAGATGGAGTTGTCCGGGTATGTTTTATCCCCAAGCTTCAAGGCGAAGCCATTCTGCACGTGGCATTCACAGCTCCTCCTGCTGTTGGTTTCAGTCTCCCAAAGGGTGACAGGAAGATGTGGGGTGACTTTTGCACAAGCTGTAACAGATAAGCCTTCCATCTCCTTCATTCTTGTCTTCAAATCTTTTAATAAAGTGTATTCATTAAAAAAATCCTATCTCCTTACAGAATTATGGCAGTTGTTATTAAAACAGTCTTAAGACATAAACATCTGGTTTTGTATGAAAAAGTTAGTTCCACTGGCCCAGCATGAAACAAACGTTAAGGACACAAGTTTTAACACATGGAAGTTGAGTTCACTACAAGTATGTAAACAGTTTTCTTTTTCTCTCTTTATTCTGCTATTGCAAGAACATAAAAATATATGTCCTCTCTCCCATCAAGAACTCTGTATTTGCCTCCCCACCCCACTCCCTCCCCCTGAAAAAAAACCCTCTGCCGCAGAGCAGCTATCAAAAAGTACTGGTGTAAGAAAGCGGCTGCCCTTCACTCGGGGGAAAAAACAACTCAATGGAGAACACACCTATCTCAAGGAGAAAAAAATATGCACAGGATTTTTTTTTTTTTTTGTCCACTACCAGAGTACAACAAGCTTCAGCTGCCTGTGTGGTGCAATCTGAGCCTCCTCTTGTGGTGTGTGGGCTAACGGGTAAGAGCACGAGGTGCCCGAGCGCAGGATCCGATGGGCCCGGGGCCTCTGCTCCTGGCGATGTCACAGTCTGTCACACGCTCTGCACCTGAAGGGTCACCTAACAGAGCGCGTGTTTGCCCTCTTCATATTAATATTTAGACAAAGATATTTAAGTGATACGGAGAGAAGATGGTAAAACTTACACAGATACGAGAATATGCGCTCGTTTTCCATCGGTTTGATAGGTACAACACTGAGTAAAAAATTCAAACCTACCCCTTGCTGGCTTACAGGAGGTAGATATTGTTAACACAGACAACAGTAACAGCCTCGGTCGGCGTGAAAGAACAGGCAGCGATTTAAAATCCTTATGCACCCTCCCACTCTCCTACCTTGTCCCAGCCCCACTTAAAAAAAATAGGTTAGCATTTTATATTGTGATTTGGTGTCTTTGATTTCTCTCCCAGCACACTTTCCAAACAGCATCAGTGAATAACAAGTACAAAAGAAGCTCAGCCGGGGTGCTTCCCAGCCCACCACACACAGTCATTTCATAACATTACAAGCAGAGCAGACCAAGTATGTCTGAAGGTGTCCACATTTTTTTTTCTTTGAAAAAAGGCTAATTAGGGCAACATTTACCACAGAACCAATTGGAGGAAAAGGGAAAAAAAAAAACAAAACAAAAACAAAAACCTTGATTTCATTGCAAACACTAAACAGTTACCTCTTCAGTTAACATTTTAAAACCACTAACTTTTACCTAGTATGGTCAAGTAGATCATTAAAATGCAGCAATCTAAAAAATCAAAATGCCTATTACAAATAAAAATTTGCTTCTGGGAATAGCTACACAAACAGATGTATTTCTTTGAACAAATATAAACAAAACAGTCTAATTTAGACTCCAGTACAGCACTAAAAGTTCAAACTTTAAGATGCTGAACAATCCTTTTCCACTTCAGTGCAGTGTAGGAAGAATAGCACACATTAAAGTTTGTTACGAAAATAGAGTTTATTAAAAACACATCCCTATTGTTTTGAGGAGCTTTCACCGTTACCTTTTCTTAAATTAAAAAAAAAATAGAAAGCACTTCTACTTCTGATTTGTAAACTTTTTAAAGTCAAAACTTTAAAAAAGTTACAGCAAAAAAATGGGTAATATTTTAATCACGTCTTCAGTATCTTGTGTTATGTTGTGGCTATTTTAAATAGAAGGGAAGCAATCAAATTGCTTACAACCTCCCAGCGACTGCTGCGGGGCTGCGGTAGAAGCAGAAGCGAGTATGATACAGCAGACTGTACAAGGCTAAAGCTCGACACGCCAAGCAACGTCCCTGCCGGGCGCTCACCGATCCCAGTCTCTAGCGAGGGGCCTCGGCGACCGAGCCGACCTCCTTCTCGGCTTGTTCTGCACATGAGGTAGCCGCAGGCGTTAGCGCTTCGTCCGCTTTTACACCCGTGGGTTCCGACTCGCCTTGACCGAGTTCGGAAACAATGTCTGCATCTTCCATCCTGTCGCCGTGGGAGTCATGGTTCTTGTCGCCGTCCTCCCTGTCCATCACCTCAAGCTTCTCCTTCCCCCGGGTTTCTTCCTTGTCCCTGCGAGACTCCCTGTCTCTCGAGTCGCGCTCGCGGTCCCGGTGCCCGCTGGACCGCCTGCTCCTGTCCTCCAAGTCCCTGTGCCGCTCCCGCTCGGGGCTCCGCCGGCCCCACTCTCTCCTCTCGCGGTTACCGAGCCGCTCGTGCTCTCGGTCATCACTGCGGTTCCCGTAGCGCTCGCGATCGTTCTCTACCCGGTTTCCAAAAGACCTCCTTCCTCCAAACCTCTCCTGGTCTCTGTTGGGAGTGAAAGTCTGCCTGTCGTTCCTGAACTGCCGTCCATCCCTGTTCTCCTCCGGTCCGCTCGGGCCACTGCTGCTGGGCATCCCGCCACTCGGCCTCACAAAATGGCCGGGCGGCGGGAAGGGCGTCTTCATGCCGTGCGGGGGCGGCATCGTGAAGCCGCCAGGCCCGGGCGGCGGCCCCCTGTGCATCATGTGGGGCGGCATGTGGCGCG